GGGAGTACCGCACCTGGTATTGAATAATAAGGGGAGTACCGCACCTGGTATTGAATAATAAGGGGAGTAGCAGCACCTGGTACTCAATAACAAGGAGAGTTCTGGCATCTTGTACTGAATAAGAAAGGGAATACTGGCATGTGGTTCTGAATTACAAAGGGAGTATCGGCACCAGGTACTGAATAATATGGGGAGTACTGCCAATAGTTTAATTAAGCAACAAGATTTGTTTTATAAAGAGAAATTATACATCGTTTACAGTATTGACAGAAAATGCCTTTATTTTGACGCAAGGAACAACCCATGAAAAGGATTTTTTTCTGTCTCTCAGCTGCTTCCATGTTCTTTTTTGCATGTATGTAATTGGAAGAAAGGCCTGCTGCATTCCTCATGTTTTTCTCTATTTACTTGCCCTTCCAAAAAATACCCCATAAATGCATCTATAACGACATCCATTCTGGTCGTTATTATTAGAAGTTATCCACTTTTTTCCCACAGTTTTGGTGCCGAAACCAAGTAAGCCAAGACTTTAGCGAAGGAAAAGGTTTTTTTTCTAGGAAGTGGAAGTGGATTGTAGATGTGGCTGAGCGGTGCAAATGGATGAAACAAAAGCGGGGGACTATTCGCACCTCGACAACCAAACTGCTTACTCGCATGGACTGGGTAATGTGTTAGGAACGAAAGGAAAGTAATGTGAAAAAATGATGTGGCAGGCTAGGCCATTTTGCCAAAATTTCATTGCAGCAACTCAAACTCATACTGTACGTTTGTACGGCCCCCATTTGTTTGTATGCATGCCTGACAATATCAAGGCATCCTCCTAATGAGACGACGGATGGCGTCCTGGGGGGGATCTCCTCCCAGATCTGGACCAGGGCATCTCTGTGCTCCTGGACAGTCTGAGGTGCAACCTGGCAGCGTCGGATGGACCGAAACATAATGTCCCAGAAGTGTTCTATTGGATTTAGGTCAGGCGAGCATGGGGGCCAGTCAATGGTATCAATTCCTTCATCCTCCTGGAACTGCCTGTATACTCTCTGTATAAGTTTTCATGCCTTTATCTCCAGTTGCTTGGATTATTGTAACTCTGTCCTGCATGACCTTCCAAAAAAACACGACAGCCCCAGCTCATCTAAAATGCTGCCGCTACATTGTTAACTGGGACAACAAAGAGCAAATACATCGCATTTTTAAAAATTTCCATTTAATGGTTGCTTTTATTTGATCTAATTTTACACAGTGAATGACCTCTGTGTTTGGAGATGTGCTGCATAAATAAACTTGCCTAGGGAGGTGGTTGAATGGACACTTAAACGTCTATAAACACAGAGCTTGCTCATGCATTTATTTTTATTTGAAAGAAAAACACAAAAGACAGGTATACTAGATCATCACCATTCCCATTTACATCAGTCAAATTTACCAGGTTCATNTAAATACATTAATACAAGTTTATTTGCTGAAATACAGAAAACAGCAAAGTACAATAGATTGTAACATTGTAAAACACTGCATTAGATGCTTATATACTCTCGATCACTCTAAAGTCTGGAAACATGGCTGTGTGGATGCAATCATCACTTGGCATTAGTAGAAAGTATCGTACAACATATGGCTAAACCAGGAACAGATCAAAATTCAAAGTTGACTACTAAATGTGCATCATTATCACACCTCCGTTAAGTCAAAATATTATAAGTTGAACCATTGTGAAGTGAGGAGAACCCATGTGTAGCTCTGGAAAAAAATTAAGAGGATATACTATATTTTTTTAAATCTGCATTTTAATTTTTTTTTTCCTGGTTTAATCCTGATTCTCCTAACAGACAGCAATAACCAAGAAGAAGGTGAAGCAGGAGATACTCCCAATAACCACAAACCAGCCAGGTGGAGGGCAGAAGGAACTTTCTAATGGCAGAGATGACTTTCAACTTATCCAACAGTGCCTCATAAGGATGACCTCACTTTTTTGAAGTGACCTACGAAAAGAATGGGAGACATTATAGTGGTAGACGAAGGACTGAATTCCCATAAAGCAAAGAAGAAGCCCTTCATTAATGAAACAGGGAAGAGCCAGTGTGGAGTTTCCCAAAAAAAATGATATTTTACACAGGCACATAATTGAGAAATGAGTGAAACTGAAAATTTTGCTGTGGTTTCTTAATTTTTTTTTACGGAGCTGTACCATCCATTCCTGCCACTCATGCCTGCAACACATTTCAAAAAAGTTGAGACAGCAGCAATTTAGGGCTAGTAAACAGGTAAAATAATTATAATTATTATAATAAAATAATAATAAAATGTATAATAAACAGGTGATGTCACCAGGAGACTGTAATCATATGGTACAAAAGCATCATCCAGGAACGGGCTGGTCCTTTAGGAGCAAAAGCATCATCCA